CGTGTTTTATCGTATCGTATCGTGTTTTATCGTATCGTATTTTATCGTATCGTATCCTACTGTATCATAATGTATACATATTTTATCATATCGTATTTTATCGTATCATATCGTATTTTATCGTATCGTGTTTTATCGTATCGTGTTTTATTGTATCGTATCGTGTTTTATCGTATCGTATCCTACTGTATCATAATGTCGACATATTGTATCTTATCGTCTACATCACAGCTCTACTGCATCATATTGTGTTTACGTCTTGCATCGTGCTGAACTGAATGTCAGTGTGGTTCTGCAGCTGCTTCGACTTTCATTTGATCGTCTTGAACAGCGAAACGCTAAAACACGTAGAGAGTTGAAGGAGGACGAACGAAAGGCAGCGACGGGTTTAGACGGAGGAGGCAGGTTAGCGAGCACAGACTCAGGACTCAGGCTTGTGTTTGCAGGAAGAGATCGAGACCCAGAAGCAGCAGCACGAAGCTCGAGTGATGTCCATCAGAACCGAGGAGAAGCAGAAGATGGACAAGATGGCCGACGACCTGGACCAGAAGTGGAGGGATGCGCTCCGGTGAGAACCCTAACACCTCGCCTTCACCGTCACACATGCAGGAACCATAACTCCATCCAGCTGCTACACATCCTGTCCTGGTAGGTCCAGATTTGTCAAACTTTGTGCGTCTCTCTCTGCAGGGAGGAAGTGCGTCTGTTGAAGGAGGAGCTGAACGAAGAGTACGAAGTGGACAAACAGGCGTCGCTGACTCAGCTGTCGCAGCAGAAAGAGCTGGAGATGATGGCGGCCAGAGAGGGCTGGCAGAGGAAGGTGGAAGACCTGCTGGAACAGGTACGACCGAAGGCCAGCGAGGAGCAGCGTCCGGGTCTGGTTAGATCATCAGAGATAAATCACCCAAACTCCAGCAAAGATGGTTCAATTTGCTTCATTTGCAAACTCAGAATTCTTTGCAGCTGCAGGAAATTGTAGAAAAATCCAATCAAGAGTTAAAGTTTTCCACTTTTAAGGCTTTTTAACACTGATTTGATTTTTTTTAAAGACTCCTTCAGGTGCAAAACAGGTGCTGGCATCAGTGTTCACCGTCATGAGTGTTCACTTTGACAGGAAGGAGTCTTTTTCTGGTAAATTCTTATCAACAATGAACTGTGCACCTAGTTTTTTAAAATATTTTTTGTATTTTTTTTCTCGCTGCTAAACGTAAATTTTCATGTTTGCATCTCGTTTTTTGGTCACTTTATTTTTTATGCATCTCTATTTTTATCAACCTTTTTATCTTTGCACATAGTTTCGTTGGTTTAAAATGCCTTCCTGCTAATCTTCTGTACTAAGTCCCACTAGAGAACCAGCTAAAGCCCAATTTGCTGCAGAAAAACAACGTCTTAGTTCAGTGTTTTCAGTTTTTTTTTTGCTTTCCTCACCGTTGGCTCATTTCTCACTGAAGTCCTGCAGCTCTGTGGAAACAGAACAAGAAAGAACTCAGAGATTTGTTATGTTTCGTGTGACGCAGTTATAATACCACAAACAGTCAAAAGACAAAATGTAAAAGTCAAATTTCCTCCATTAGTAATTCAATCATTTTTTCCCCACAGGTGTCACCAGCACCGGAAAAAAAAAGAATAGTGGCTCTAATTAGTGTAATTATTTATTTCTGCTCATGTTTTTATTACTTCCCGTCCTCGTCTCGTGCAGTTCAGCACAACGGTTTTTGATTTTTCGTCGGGTGTCTGTCGGTCGCGTCCGAGTCATAAACGGCTTCACAGTTGCGGAGACGAATGCAGAATTTTTTGGTTTTTCCAGAGTCGGGTTCGAGGAAACTGTTTATTTCTGATGAATTTTTGAAGTGATTTCGACCATTTAAAAAAAACAAAAAACAATGCCTGTCAAACCTGCCAGCAGCTTTTGGGATTCAGAGGCTTTAATCCATTAATTATCTCCCTAAAAATAGAGATTTGCTGTCACGAAATAAAGCAAATCCTCACGATTCACAAGCTGCTACAGAGAAATGAAAGTTCCCAGTGTGACGAGACGTTTTAAACAATTAGACGTGAGAACTGACAACTCCAGGAAGTCACTGAGTGTTAAACTGATCCTGCCTGAAAATAAACATCAAGCAGAGCGAAGAACAGCGAAGGAGTTTTAAACTGTGAGAATCAGTTGTTTTTAGATTATTTTACTCTGAGCTGTTTGTGCACAAAGCCGGAGATCAACAGTAAATCAGCGACTTCATCTGCTGGTCATTCATTCTTGTCATATTTATTTTTATATTTGTGTGTGACACCAGTTTCTTGTTTCACATCTAAAAGGACGAGAAGTTTGCTCTGGAGTCACGTCTTCTGAATAAATCTGCACATTATCCGCACATGAAGTCATTCTGACCTGGTTGTTCAAAGCTGAAATGATAATAATAATGAAGTAAATCAACTCCCAGCAGCAGCACTGAGACGCGAGCTGCTGCTTTCAGTTGAAACGTCTCCACCTGTTGTCTTCACGCGTTAATCCTGCAGCGCTAATTCCATCACGCCGACAACAGAGAAGCACTTTCCTGCCGCTGTCAGCCGGAAACGCTGTTGTCGTTCGCTGATTAATTCCAGTGGCTGCTGCTCTGCCCTTCGTCTGCTCGGCCTTGACTCCGGCGGAGCTCGCTTTGCATAAATAACTGCCGGTCGGCTTTTGATGTGGAACATCTGTAATAAGGTGTCCTGTAACGGCGACCGAATAAAACTGATGGAGTTTTAATTCACTACCGAGTTAAAAGCGTGTTTTTAAAGGACGCTCGGTGCCGTTTGTCGCTGTGACCTCCAGGTTCTGTGTTTTTAGGCCTGACGTGGTTTCATGACGTCCTGCAGCTGAAACAACATGACGAGAAGTAAATAGAAGCTGAATTTATTTGATTGTTCGTTTAACACAAATGGAACAAACCCTGAAATATATTATTGTTAAATATTTTAATACGTTTCCTGCTTGTATCAGTTCAGCCCAAAAAGTTCCCTGAATTCTTATCAGCTTAGTTAAAATCGGCTTCGCGGTTGCTTTGAAGAACGCAGATGTTTTTTTGTTTTTTGCAGAATCGTGCAAAGAGATTATTTTAATCGGAACACGAAGAATAAAGTGACGTCGATGAAATGTCACGATTTTAGGCCACGTTTATTTACAAAAACGGATCTACGTTTTCAAAAATAACATCGTTCACACCAGATCGCTTTCAAAAACATCGCATAAACACGACGTTAAGAGCTGCTATGAGCTGCCAGACCTGTAGGGGGCAGTGTAGCGAGAAGCATAAAGCATAAAGCGAGCTAATCCTGGAAAAAACAACAAATGGCACGAATGACTTCCTGTTACTTCAGCGATGATGGCCTGAAGGTTGTTTGTTTGGAGGGGAGGAGTGGAGCTGCTCCGAAATGTCGCATTAGAGGACAAACGTAAAAACCAGCGTCGCTTTAACAGCATCCATTTCTATCACAGGAACAAACTGTAAACATGGTCGCACACATACGCTGGTGACGCTTTTGTCGCACACTGTGACGTCGCCTCCTGTCGACATGCAAAGACGGAGTTTTTCCAACTCTCCACGTTGGCCGGAGTTTTCAGATCTGATCGTTTTCGGTGACTCGTAGCTTCGTTTAAACCAAAGAAATATCACCGTCTACGTGTAAACGGGGCCTGAAACCGCACGAGTGGTTCAAAGACCATCGAAAACTTAAAAAGTCTGATGATTATTTCAGTGTTTTTTATGCTTCCTGACTTCGATGTGGTGTAGAAGATCAAACGGGGCTCAGAGCTGGTTTTAACCGGATTCATATTGATGCGTAGAAGCTGAAGAATTCATGGTGCCTCCCAATTAAAGTCGAACCCATCCAGATGTTTTCCATCTTTAGAATTCACTTTCCTCCTCCTGTTAAGTCTCCGTGTGAGTTACAGATTCTCCCTTTTGAAACAAGACGCGCCCCAAACTGCATTTTTGAGAATTCAAACAAGCCGTGAGCTGGACACGGCAACTACATGTGCTGCTGAAGCGGAGAGGAAACGAGTTCGAAGAGTTTCGTGGGCGGGTGCGCCTTCGTTATCTATAATGACCGAAGATGTTTTCATCACCAGGTCGTAGCTTCGGCCGGTGCGAGCTCCAGACTGCGTTTAATTGAGACGCGTGCAGGTTGCTGCAGGTGTTTCCGTCTTGCAAATGTAAAAAGTCGACTTATGTGATGAACTTTAAATCCAACGTCGAACCTCGGCGGCTTCATCCCGGCCCCGCTCCTCATCCTCTCGTTTTAAATCCATCTTACCTTGCAGCTGCTAATGTAGTACTTCTGCAGCGCTAAATCCTGCCGGGGATTTAACTCCCGGAGTCGGAGGAAGAGTGGCGGCTGAAGGGCCCGAGCCGTCTGCCGGAGAGAGTTCTGCCACTCACTGCCACTTAGGCCTCTAATAGTTCCAGTATCTCCTCGAAACAAAACCCATTTTGTGCGCTGCGGCGTCGACGGGGCTTACGCCGGTCGGCTCGGCGTTACTTGGCTTCGCGCTGCCACTCGGCGTCCGCGGCGCTCGGTGTTTGGCTTCGATAGCGTCAGAAAGTCGGAATTAAAAAGGATTGAAGAGTGAAAAAGAAGAGGCAGGAGGGGAAAGCAAAGGCGTGAAGCTCACCTGAATATGAGCACGGTTGAATGAGTTGCTTGGAGATGTGTGTTCGGGGTTGACTGATGTGTTACTGATACCAGTTATTGGTAATCAATAATATCAAAGCATGTGATCTGAGGGACCCTTTCATTCATAACCAGGCTTCTTTATTCATAAGGTTAGTTATCATAATCACAAATCATGGTTTTAGCCCCCAATCTGACTCTTAATATTTAGTAGCTGCTGATAGAACCAGTTTCAGATCAGCTGTAGTACCTGGTTGCCCCACCAGGTGGAGCCTCTTACTCTTTATTGTTGTAGCTACACCAGGAGGTGGGCAGTATTTTTAACATTTTCCTTCATGACGTTAGCTTCGAGTGTTGTTAATCAGCTGTAGTTCCTGGTTTGGCCACCGGGTGGAGCCTCTTTCTGTTTTATCCTGCGACAAGAGGTGGCGAGCACGTCCATGGTAAATGGGCGCCATGACGACATCTGACCTCTGCCATGTAAATCAAACTGGAATCAATAGGGTAGTTATTATTGTATTATTAGATCCAATCCGCGCTAAACGATGATCAGTCATCAAATGTCAATGCTGCAATTATTATTGAAATTTATGACGTCTGTTTGATAGCAGAGGTAAAAAAAAAAGTAGTAACGTTTCACTATTCTGTCACTTTCATTGCCGACTACGGCCCCATTCTTAAATCCTCCTAACTTAGCCACTAGCCTAGCCAAGCCCTTTAGCCGTTAGCCTTAGCCAGTGAGATTAGCTAATTTCCTGATTTTATGGCGCTTTATTGTTCCGTTTTTATAGAGAAGCAGTTGGAACATATTACGAAATCTTAGTTTTAAAAGACGTTACAGGTGCACCAGTTAGCATTAGCCACAGGCCCGAGAACAAGCCCGTTAGCGATAGCCATAGCTTAGCTTTGTTGGCAACAAACAGTTCCAGCTGCACTGATGTAAACGAGTGAATCATCCGGGCGTTTTCATGTGACTGCAGTGTTTATTGCAACTTCTATAATGTTAGTTAGCTTTTTAAACGCAGCTCCGCTAGCTTGACCAAGCTAGCATGTTAGCTTAGATTATTGACGTGTAGCCAATCAGACCACAGAGAGACAAATTCTTTTTTTGGGGGAATCAGTTTCTACCGATAATTGGAGAAAAGCTAAATAATGTCCCTAATAATCGCTAATAAGTCCGTTTGCTGTGAAGAACCGTGGCGCTGCTGCACCGTCAAAGGTGGAGGAAGCCACTTATCAGGAGTTAATGACTGTGTTTTATGGCGCTGAGCGCACTGACCTGCCTGCATTTGCCTCTAATTATCTGTCCAGTTCTGCTCTTTACGTTCTGAACCCAGTCCGGTGCTGTGCCCCCTTTACAGTAACAGCACCAGTAACGGTTCTGTTTCCTCTGTCCAGATCTCTCTGCTGAAGCAGTCCCTGGAGCTGCAGCTGTCTCAGTCCCAGTCGGCGCTGCAGCAGCTGCAGTCCCAGTTCAACCAGGAGAGGGAGCTGCTGAGCCAGCAGCTCAAAGGTAAACCACCCGCCTGCATTTAGCATTTCACAAACACCCACCTTCACCATGCGGGCGTCAGAACCGCCTTCGTGCACCAGTTTCACAGGAAGTGATGCTGCATGTGTCTGAGGTGTTAGAATTCCCCCTGATGGTCCTCAAATGTAACATCTGACCGTCTGAACCCGAGCAGGTTGTCGGCATCTTTAGCTTCAACAGAAACTCCTCGAAACAACCAGAGAAGTAGAAAGAATGTGTTCTGAGCTGAATAACTCAGAAAAGTAAAGAAAAGAAAAGAAAAAAGAAAAGCAGATGTTCATGTGATCTGTTTCTACACTCGTCACAGTTCAGCTGAAAACTCCCAGAATTCTTATTATTTATCTGTTGGTCTCGGCTGAGTCTCCAGCGGCTCCTCGGTTGCATCGACGATCACGAAATTTTATGTTTTTTGCAGAATCTGTTTTAACCAAACCGTTTATTTTTTGGCAAATTTTTAAGTGAGACGTGAGAAACGTCAGGATTTGAAGCGAAGGTTTCCACCAGTAGTGGGAGGATCTTTGGAAGATTCAAACCCAACAGTTCTTTCTGTTTTTGCAATTTGTAGCTTTAATAAATTCTTTAATTCTGCAGAAATAAAAATTAAAGTTAACGAGCCTTTGACACCTTTGTTTTTTTTTTATCTTATCTTATCCTTTTTGCGTCTGCGGTCGACAGGCTCCGCCTCCTGCACGCCAACCAGGAGAATAACTGTTTTTGCTGCTTTAAAATCGAGCATGAATCCATGTCGGGGTCGTACAGGACGTGTGCTCACGAGGCCGGAGCATCTTCAGCATAAAAACCCAGACGCACAGAGATTCTGACAGCTTCTTGACAGGAACCGGGACGGGTTGTCACGGAGTGGACACGCGTCTGACGGATGGCGGCGGACGTGTTTGTGTTTGTTTTGTTGTTGCAGAGATGCAGCGGGAACATCAGAGGAGGGAGCATCGGCTGCAGGAGGCCCACTGCTGCGCCCTCAGCACCATGGAGGAGGCCCGGCAGCACCAGATCAGGGTAGGAACCGGACTCGCATCGATGTGTGGACACAAACGAATCAGACTGACGGAACAATCAGGATTAATCAGAGCAGCTGTCGTGTCCAAAACCGTCCTTCGGGGCGATCAAGCTGCTGAACAGATCAGATTCATCTGAAGCGCTGCAAAAAAATACAAGAAAGAAAACATGCAGGTGAACTGATGGAGGAGAACATTCGTCCCGTTTCAGACAAGAAGTCGCTTGTTTCCCTCCTTTCAGCGCCAGTCCTGGTCCAGAGAGAGCAGGAGCTTCTCGTTCACTTTGCTGTTTAATTTGACGTCTATTACAAAAAGAAAAATGTCTGTTTAAGGAAAACAACCGAGATAACGAGAACCTGCAACAACCAGCTTAGTCAAAACAATGACAGGAGCTGAGGTTTAGTCTGCTGCTTCCAGCTGTTCAGGAGCGTTTCCTCTCAGTTTATTCAACATATTCTGTGTTAAACAGCAGCATTAAACAAAACCGTGGAACAGCAGCAGTAAACATCCTTCAGTCTGCGTTAGAAACCCTAAAAAAGTCCTCAGTGTCATGTCAAGTTCAGGCTGGAGAGTTATTTAAGTTATTTATTCTGAATAAATGCTGTTGTTTTGAGATGAATGAGGTTCAGCTTGTTGCTCTTCAGGACTGTTTCCTCTGAGTTCATCAAACACCTGCAGCAGGATCCGTGTGAGGCCGCTTCGCTCATTAGCGGCGTCGTTAATTCCTCTAAATGATAAATGATCTCCGACGGGACGAGTCGGCGCCTAGCGGGAACTGAGAAGTGAGTGTTTCAGTGTTTAGTGTCTCCACTTAGCAGCGAACAGGAACGTTAGCATCCGAGGTAACCGTAGCTGTCAGCGGACAGACTCTGACGTGACCTGCATTCATCTGCCTTCAGCTGGAGATGTGCTCGTCTGGCTGCGTCGTGTCGCCCGTTCCACGACAGAGCCGACATGAAGCCGCCTGAGATCAGCAGAAAGTCAGAATCAGCTGCGTGAGGAGAAGAAGAACGGGTTTTCTGACTGATTTGTTCATCCTGAGAGGAAGTCAGATCCTCCTGCGGTTCCTCAGAGTCACCATCGGAATGATTTACTGTCCATTTTCTTCTCATGACGACGTGTGGACGAGAGTGAAACAAACTACGAGTTGTTTTAAGTTAACGATCCTTTAATTCCTGCTGGTCTGGGAGGAGTCACGCAGCAGTCGGACGGTTCCAGCGTTCATTCGCTTCGTCTGCGTTAGTTTCGTCCGTCTCCTCGTTAGACGACATCGAAGCCGAGTCGTGATGATTAGAGCTTATTGTTGGGTTTCTGCTCGAAGCTGCTCTGTGACTACAGCTGCTGCCCCGCAGAGCAACACGTGGCGCTACTGAGGCCACGTCTGAGGCTACGTCTGAGGCCACGTCTGAGGCCACGTCTGAGGCTACGTCTGAGGCCACGTCTGAGGCCACGTCTGAGGCCACGTCTGAGGCCACGTCTGAGGCGCCTTCCTACGTCCTCGTGGAGGTCGTGGATCACAGAATGCACCTTTATGCAAATCAGACTTCAATAGCTGTGCGAACAAAAACCCTGATTTGCATAAAATTTGCATTCATCTGGCGTCTGATTTACGTGACCTGGGACCGTTTTCACTGCGTTGTTTCAGCGTTGGCGCCCGTACAGCCGTGACGTCGACGTGTTTCACCAGCAGGAGGCGTAATGAGGTTCACCCTCTGTTCACTCGCTGTGGGTTCAACATGAAGTCAGCTCAGGAATCATCGACAGGGAAATCAAATCAAGTGTTTAGTTTACAAATAAACATAAAACAGGAATCAACTCGTACCATATTTACCGCGGTGTGACTCTGCAGGCGACAGATCTTTGGCTGATTCGTCTCTGTTCACTTGCTGCAGTTCAGCCGAAGACGTTTCACTGAGTTTTCTTCCGCTCACCGTCGGTCGCGGCTGAATCACTGCCGGCTTCGCTGATGCACCGAAACACGCAGAGTTTAGTGTCTTTCATCAAATCTGGTTTAAGCAAGCGGCTTATTTTTGGCACATTTTTAAACGAAGCGCTCAGAATGAAGCTAGTCTCTGATGAGACTGCGTGTTATGAATGAGTGAATAAAACCAGGTGGAGGCTGATGGTGTTTCTGCTGCCAGGCGCTGGAGGAGCGTCTGAAGCAGGAGCAGAGGGAGGAGGTCCACGCCCTGAAGGAGGCCCACCGGAGGACCCTGGACATCCTCCGGCAGCAGTCGGACCAGGAGCTGCAGACGCTGCGCTTCGAGCTGGAGGACGAAGGCAAAGCAAAGCTCGGTAGGTAACCGGCTCTGGTTCGGTTCTGTCAGGATTCTGAACCGCACGTGAACAAAGAGGCACTCGTGGTTTAAACAGGACAAAACAAAGAGACTCACGGTAGTAAAATGTCACATCCACATATACAACATTTTACCAAATGCAAACACAACCTGCAGTTCAGCCGAGAAGTCTGGAGTTTGTTTTATTATGATTTTACAAAATCAATGCATAATTTTTATTATTTTTTAAAGAAATTAGAATTTTTCTGATTTTTTAAATTTATTATTTTTTCATTTAACAATCCCAGAGTCCTCATATACAACATTTTTCCACGTGGATTTTTACCAAAACTAGAAAAAACAGCATCCTTGCTCTACGTTCTCTGTACAGGTTTATACACAACCTGCAGTTCAGCCGAGGAGCTCCATCACATCAGCTGTTGGCTGCAGCTGAGTCACTCTCGGCTTCACTGTTTTTACTTCTTTAAAGAACCACATTCAAGTCGAAGCTTCATTTTGGGAGAATTTTAAATGAGACGTGTTGAAGATTTTACGTTTTTTTTTAGGTGAAAATCCAACAAATCTTCTGTTTTTTCTGTTTAAAAGGAGAATCTGCTTTTTAAACTTGCCGGGTTTTAGATTCAGAGCTTTGAGCAGGAAGCGAATCCCACGAGGGCGTAAAAAACAAAGACAAAAGTTTTATCCAACTCTTCCCGACATCAAGGCCTCCTGTGTTCAATATTGTGATGCTTTAGTTTCCTGGATTTAATTGCGCCGACAACCAAAGAGGCAACAGATCCTGGCTGTGATCTGAGCGCGAGCACAAGACGCCGGGTTTGAACTCGGCAGCATCTGACGCCGTCTGACAATAATTGCCTCCAACATCAAACCGAGCTTGAGAGTAAATCTCTCAAAGTAAAGGGATGATGAAAAGATGGAGTTTTTCTGGGAATCACTAGTAGCACGCCGTTCACCGTTTACGACGGTGGGAGTGTGTCTTGGTGGTTGAAGTTCTTCTCTGTTTGGCAGCTTCTCTGCGTGCGGAGCTGAACCACCTCCACGCCACAGCCATAGAGCACCTGAAGCAGATCCACCTGAAGGACCACACCTCCGTCAAGCGGGACCTGGAGAACGCCATGGAGCACAGCCACCAGCAGGTAGCCGTCCCCGTTCTCCTGTTCCCCGTCCGTCGTCTCCTAACCTGCTAGACATCTCTCTCTTTTGTGATGCAGGAACAAGAGCTCCTGGTTCGCATCTCGGACCTCCAGAGCGAGGTGTGTTCCCGTAGCAACCGCATCACCGACCTGGACCACGAGATCCACTCGCTGAACGAGACCATCGACACTCTGACCAGGGAGCTGGAGCTGAAGGGCAAAGAGGTGCTGAGGGTTCGGAGCGAGGCCAACCATCAGATCAGGTGGGCGGCGCCGGAAAACAAACCGTAAAGCTGACATAGAACAACAAAGTGAGACGTGACGCACCGACTGTCAGGCGACCCGAGACTGAATCATGTGACTGTAGAGGATTCATGACACGAGTGTTCTGGTGCCTTTTGTCTTATTATTGTGATTATCGAGAGGGCAGAGTTCAACCGTGACTCGGCAGGGTTAAACCGTGACTCAGCAGTGTTAAACCGTGACTCAGC